ATGCTCCGGACACAGGCTCTCTCTCCAGATGCAGCGTCTGAGAGCGTTCAGGTGTCCACAGGTGTCTGCTCTCTCTGTGCTTTTCCTTCATCCATTTTCTGTGGTCGCCCTGACAGGACCTTTCCTTCCAGTGTTTGGCACAGTCACTACCTTGCCTTTTTCATACCATAGATTCAATTTTCTTGCTGTATCCATGTGCTTGTGGAGAAAGCTTGGTGCCTTCTCATTTCCCCCCTCCCCTGAAACACTAAACTGATACCTCATACGGAACAAAGAGAGGAAATTCCCGTTCTTAGCAATACATACTTAACTAAATTCCTGGTTCAGTTAATATGTTCATTACAATGCTATGGCTGTATAGGCATGATATTTTCAAGTAAATTTAACACTCAGACAAAAGTGTGCTACCTCCATTCCACTTAAGGGAGAATAGCTATGAATGGTCTGAGATGGACACAATCACTTTCACTTGGAAGTCTCTCTTTTTTTTTTTAATACTCATCCAAGGATATTTTTCCCATTGATTGTTAGAGGAAGAGTAGAAGAGAGAAGGGAGGGCACAGAGAGGGAGTGAGGGAGGGAGAGAGAGAGAGACAGAGACAGACAGACACAGATGTGAGACATATCACTGGTTGCCTCCTGCACATGATCTGACAGGGGCAGGAGATTGAACCTGCAACTGAGACATGTGTCCTTCACCAGGAATCCAACCTGTGACCCTTTGGTCTGCGGGCTGATGCTCTAACCCAGTGGTTCTCAACCTTCCTAGTGCCGCAACCCTTTAATACAGTTCCTCATGTTGTGGTGACCCCCAACCATAAAATTATTTTTGTTGTTACTTCATAACTGTAATTTTGCTACTGTTATGAATTGTAATGTAAATATCTGATATGCAGGATGTATTTTCATTGTTACAAATTGAACATAATTAAAGCATAGTGATTAATCACAAAAACAGTATGTAATTATATATGCGTTTTCCAATGGTCTTAGGTGACCCCTGTGGAAGGGTCGTTTGACCTCCAAAGGGGTCGCGACCCACAGGTTGAGAACTGCTGCACTAACCATTGAGAAAACCAGCCATGATTCACTTGGAAGTCTCTTTATCCATCAGTTGCTTTTGAGGATGCTTCACATGCCTTGAGCAATGTTTGCCCTGGTTCAGTCATAGCAGCGGTTCCCCTTCTTGGCTACATACTTGTATCACTCAAGGAACAGATGTAAAAACATACAGATATCTGAGCCCCATTTGAAGACTTTTTGAGTTATTCTACTGTGGTTCGGTCTGACCCTGGACTTTTTACTAGCCACCAGGGGAGCCCAATATGCAGGCAAAGTTAAGAACCATTGAGTGAAATATCCTAAAACTACAGCTGTATGGGAGACAGGAAAGAAGGTATGCTTTCTCTTTTCTGGAATATCCATTTGGATTTTTCAAGGTTTGTTTTAGGACACTAAGCAGTAAACTTTGTCCCATTTAGACATCATGTGATGAAACACACAATGGCAAAGATAGGGTCAGAAACCTTTAAAGAAGGCTAAGGTTGTCATAACTAGCACTATCCTACCATAGGGCTTCTCTGCCTCTCAGCCAATTCCTTGCCCCACCAAATGAATGTGAGTCTCTATGGTGTGAGGTTGGGATGGAGTGAAGCTGATGGAAGATAGGAATAGACTGTAAGGTTGCCAACTTTCTACATCCTGGTAAGATCGCTCAACCATTCTTAACTTAGGGCACCTCATCAGTTAGTCAATGTGCTTTCACAGAGGTCCTACTATGGGCCAGGACCTGTGGAACGTTGGGAATAATGTTGTGAACAGCATGGACTCCGTCTTCCACCTGCTCATGGTGACATCTTGCGTCCCCCATGGTATGAAGTACATAGTCTTCCATGAACTCTTAAAAATTTCAAGCATCCCAGCTGTGGTGGCTCAGTGGATTGAGTGTCATCCCATGGACCAAGAGGGCCCAGGTTCATTCCCAGTATGGGCACAAGCCCGAGTTGCGGGCTCAATCCCCAGTAAAGGGTGTGCAGGAGGAAGCCAATCAATGATTCACTCTCCTCATTGATGTTTCTATCTCTCTATCCCTCCCTCTCCTTCCTATCTAAAATCAATAAAAACATATTTTAAAAAAATTGCAAGCAAATGTTATGACTTAATTTATATCACACAAGGCCCCTGGTAGACTTTACTATGCGGGACCTTCTATCACAGATGAAACTGTCGGAAGACACAGGCCTATGTGGTGCTTCAGGTAACAACAAGAGTGAAGACAGGGTTACACCCAGTCACCAAGCTTCCCTGATCTTTCTCATGATTACAGTCTCCCACACAAGACTGAGAGATCTAGAAAACATAACACAGACCCTAATAGAAATGGTAACACAAAGAGTGGTTCAGGACAGAAGATTTGTGGAATTGTGTGGAACCAGGAAAGATCTTGGAGCCCTGGGAGGTGAGGGCAGCTTGGAAAACCTCTGGGAGGTCGGACGGAGGACCTTGGAAAGAGCAGAGTCCAGTGTGAGAAAAAGGAGAAATCCCAAATGCATGACTGTCATCACGAGCCTTTGAGATGGTCCCTCAGGGATGAGGGCAGAGTGATGACGTGGGCTCCATGACGGTGCTTCTGTCTCATGGATGATTCCTTTGCAGGGCTGTGTGCTGGCCAAGACCTAAGAAGAGATGGTGAGTGTTTCTAAAGGAAAGCCTTCCTTCTCCTTCACTCCAAATTCCCCTCATCCCTTCTCTTTCTTCAGAACAGCAGGTGAGTAAATCAAATCCAGCCTGGACTCCGCTTCCTTCCAGGGTCATTTCCCAGGCCCTCCATCTGTGCCTGGCCCAGCTCCGTGCCTCCTGCCAACAGTGATGTGACACTGCAATGCTCCACTCCTGCCGGGGAGGTCGACTTCAGGGACATCAAGTTTGTTCTCAGAAAGAACAATGCTTCTTTCAAGTTCTCTCCTGATTCCCCAGGGGGCTTGGCAGAGTTTCACCTCAGGGATGTAAAACTCAGTGACGCTGGAGAGTACACCTGTGAATACTACAGGACAGGGAGGCCCACCAGAAGGTCACCGCCCAGTGACGTCCTTCTACTCCTGGTGACAGGTGAGGACGGGTGCTCAGAATGACACACCATCTCCCTAGGACAGGGATGACGAGGGACCCAGAGAATGAGAGAGAAGCAAGGGTCTCACCTCCAGTGTAGATGGGAGGTGAGATGGAGAAGGACAGGAACAGAGCTGGGGACCCTGCCCTCATCCAGGGCTTGTAGGAGGGACATCTCCTTCCTGGAGTCAGAGCAGAAAGAGGGTGAGGCCAGGTGTCTGTCACTTCCCACACTCCCTGGGTACCGTGCCAGGACAACAAGCCTGAGCGGGGACCCAAGGCTTCTGCCCATGACTTCTGAGCTTCCTTCTCTTACAGGATTTTTACCTAAACCTTCCCTTCATGCCCGCCCAGGGCGGAAGGTGACTGCAGGAGGAAACGTGACTCTGCAGTGCCAGAAGCCCAGTCATGTGACAGAACCTCACATGTTTGCTCTACTGAAGAAAGGAACCTCAACACCCATACAGCTCCAGAGTGCAGTAGGAATGGAGACAGACTTCTTCCTTCCAAGTGTGACAGGCAGTGACACTGGGGCCTACAGCTGTGTGTACCACCAACCAAGGGCTCCTTTCTGGGCCTCAGAGCCCAGTGATCACCTTTCGATCTGGGTGACAGGTAAGGTTTCTGCAAGATTTTGAGAACTTGGATTCCCAGTTGGGCCACGTGCCTGGGTTGTGGTCCGATCCCCAGTAGAGGGCTTGTGGAAGGCGGCTGGGCGATGGTTCTCTCTTATCACCCATGTGTCTACCTCTCTCACTCTCTTTCCCTTCCTCACTGAAATAAAAATATATATATATATATTAAAAAAAGAACTTTAAAAAGGGATGTCATCTTCTGCTTCTCACTTCCTAATTTCCACTCCCTTGCCCTTCTTTGTTCTGAATTCTTAATTTCTCATGCTGTTCTTCACAATTACCAGCCCTGCCATTATCACCATTCCTCCCACCATTCTCTCCATCTCATAAAGTTTTGGTCGCTTTTAACAAGAGTATTACCCAGAATTCTCCTTTGTTCTCAGAATGTGGCATTCCACAGCCTCCTGCTTGATGGTGATGATGCAATGTGTTGTGTTTTTTTAAAAATCTCCTGATACTTATGGCAAAATTATCTGTGGTTACCTTGTTTCCTGCTATGGCACACTTTGTGTTAGCTCTGTATGCTGCATTTTCTGCTGCTGAATCTTCTAAAGTGGTCGGTGAATGTCTTATAATTGATCGAGGTCCATATGGCCAGCCCTGAGAGGTGCCCAGAGCTCCCCGGTTCCTGGGAAGCAGGGTCGTTACCCATTTCGCCCCATGGATCCTGCCTTCAGGGAACATTGTCGGTGATGGGTTTAGACATGAACTTTGCCCGAGTTGGGATGGGTGCGATGGGGGATGTAAATGCAGACTTCTCTTCAGGAAGGAGGACCAATGACAAGATTGAGCCACTCGTGACTGCAGCTAAACACATGACGTCATGATGCTTAGCTACTAAGATCACTGAGCTCGCTGCTGGTGTAAGTTTTGTGCTGTGAGGACTGGTGTTGATGCAGCTGCTGAATTTCAGTGCTGACAGGCAACTCTGATTCTCTGTGCATCTTGCACACAAATTCCTAACAAAAGGAGGGAGGAGGGGAAAAGGAAATGCAGGGAGGTGGAAATGAGATGAAAGCAAATAAATGAGAAAGGTAAGGCAGAGAAAATATAAAAAGATGACACACTAGTACAACTCTCCTAACACTCCCCATTTGGTTCCCAGTGATTAGAACTATAATGTAGTACAGCTGAGCACTGCCCAGGACACACATGGGGGCACGTGAAGGTCACCTCCGCTAGAACCATTGAGAAGCAGGGACATCAGTGGGGATCCTCTTCTCCCTTTCAGATGCCCCTGGTGCCACATCAACAGATTACACCACGGGTAACCTCATCCGACTGGGACTGTCTGCCCTAATTACGGTTCTTATGGTGGCTTTCCTGGTGGAAGCCTGGTGGAGCCAGAGGAGGTCTCCACGTGGGTCCAGGTAAAACACTGAACACTTCTCTCTGTCATGGGCTGTTGGAGTGATACGAGGGTCCCCTCCAAACCCACCCATTGCGATTTATGTTTCGCATTATGGCGCAGATGGAATGTTCCTCATCCGGTGTGACCGTTCTGTTCATTGTAAGGACATTTAATATCTCTTTTCCTTTCCTTTCAAACAGCAATTAAAGTGCCAATCGTTGTGGAAGAAGCAGAGCAGCAGGTACTATCCACAATTCCTACTGAAACCTCCCTGTATGGAGAGGCTGGGGAGAGGGATGCTTCTTCCTGGCTGAGAACCTGTTTTGGAGGCTGTGAGAATCCATATTCTTCCTTCTGGTTCCTCCCTGGGTCCCAGGTCCCACCTCCTCTACCCACAGGTCCCCCAGCTGCCCCGGAGTTGGGAGGGGGAGATGATGAGTACCTGGTCCAGCAGGACCTGCTGTGTTAACAGCTGGGAAACCTACCTTCCCAGCCAGCCCAGGACAAGACGCTGACTTCCTTCTTCCTGTGCGCTTCACCGGGCCCGATGGCAGGACTGAGCGGACTCACCTAACACACTTTGGATGACTTGGCAAATACTTAAAACTTCAGCTTCTGACCGGGTAGCAAGTAGTTTCATGTGTAGGAACTGTTCTTCCTTGAAAACTGGGGGAAAGATGGGTTCCTATATAGTATTTATTAATGTTTCCCTTCCACTCTATCTTCTGCTCTGACCAGCAGTTTGGTCAAATGTTGAAACTACTGTATTTATCATGTCTTTTAAATTTTATTTCATATATTCTCATAATTTTACCTAATTTGGGAGAATTCCAGTCTATATTATAGTATCAATTTTCTCTTGAGTTGTCCCCAGTATTCCCGGTGCTGGTGTAAAAAATCATTGAGTGTATTTTCAAGATCTGTTGTTTCTTGTTTGATATCTTGTTCTTTTTCATAAATGCTCCCTCTTATTTTAGAACTATTATCTCCTCTCTCATAACTCCGGAGATAGGCTATGAAAATCACATTCTGATGATAATAAAAGTGATTCTCTGAGACGGAAGTTATTTGCTTCCCCTGCTCCCTTCACTGTGGTGGGCCCATCAGATCATGGAGGAGTCAGCTCCTCTCTCACCCTCATTACAGCTGAGTCCCTCTTCTCCTGGCTGCTGCACTATGTGTATGATGAGGTGTGTGTGTGGCGGGGGGGTGGGGGGGGAGGAGTTCTTCCCACTGCACTTCTCAGGGTGCTGGGGATGACTAGGACTCCTGGGCTGTGTACCTGTTGCTGAACTTCTCACTGTGGGGCTCTAGGTAACCTCAGGCATCAGGAGAAGTTTTCTGTTTCTCCCACTCAATTACTAAACCTCATGCCTCGTGCTGAGAATAAACCCTCTGGCTGCTATCTGGTCAAGTGCCATAAAATAAACAGAAGTCTGGATTTACAGGCAGGACGGGTGGGGTCCATCGGAGAGGCAGCGGTTGCTCAGTCTACAAGCACCTCCTGCTCAGTCTCCACTTTGGCCTCACCTGGAACAGGTTTAGCGATGCTCCCACTCCCCAATGGGTGACTGTGCATGTTCATTTAGGTTGTGTTTTTCCTCTTCACACATATCCAATTTAAATGTGTCTATTTGGAAATAATTGTAGATTCACAGGAAGTTCCGGAAATAGCACAGATTTCTTCACTCGGTTTCTCCCAATGGTTCCATTACTCACCCATTATAATAAAAAAGGAAGAAGTTGACATGAGTACAATGTGTGTGCACAGTGCTATCATTTTTCTGTCATATGCCCACCAACACAGTCCACAGACTGACCTAGTCCATCACCATGAAGCTAATCCTCATGCTATCTCTTTACAATCACACTCACTTCTCTTCCTAACACCATTCTTCAACCCTGGCAACCAATGATTTCTCCTCTATCTCCAAAATATTGTCATTTTCAGAATGTTCCATGTGACAATGCCTGGTTTCATTTTAAGAATGTGGTTTCAGCCCTCTCTGTATTGGCTCAGTGAATAGAGCATTAGCCTGTGGACTGAAGGGTCCTGGGTTGGATTCAGGTCAAGGACACATGCCCAAGATGTGGGCTCGATCCTCAGTAGAGGGCGTGCAGGGGCCCCCAATCAATGATTCTCCCTTATTATTGATGTTTCTCTCTCTCTCCCCCTTTCCCTTCCTGTCTGAAATCAATAAAAAATGTATTTTTAAAAAAGAATGTGATTTCATTTCAGTAGTTAAGGCATCAGTCTATACACCAAAGGGTCACAGGTTTGATTCCCGGTCAAGGGCAGGTACCTGGCTTGCAGGTTTGATCCATGGCCTCTGTCAGGGCCTGTGCAGGAGGCAACCAATCAATGTGTCTCTCTCACACTGATGTTTCTCTCTCTTCTCTCTTCCCCTCCCCTTTCCTTCCACTCTCTCTAAAAACCAAGGCAAAAATATTCTTCAGTGAGGATTAACAATAAAAAGTAATGAATGTGGTTGTGACATCAAACTTGTGGGGTCACATGAGGGGAAGGAAGAAATGGGCTGGAACAAAGAAGCCACCACCCACATCAAGCTGTCCTTCCTCCTGGGGTTGTAAAACTCAAACAGTCCTTGAATCCAGTGGCAGGCTCAGTATGGTGGCTGAATTCCTTTCTCTCCTCTTATTTGGTAAGTTTCTTAGGATTGATATATTGGGATTCGAGATAAGGGTGGATTGACTGAGAGATGTGATGAATACAACAGAGATAACACTGCCTTCTATTTATTGATTGCTTCACACATGTCAGGACCCATGCTGCAGGCTTTATGGCCACTTATGAATCAAGTGTTTCTCAGTATAGGAATATGTGTATTCCACAGTCATGATCGTGCTCTATGTCTAACCACCTTCATGTAATTAATAATTTATTGGCCCTGTGTCAACTCTTTTTCTTCATATCAAATGAATGTATTTATTTGAAATAATGTAGCAAGACTGTAACCAATAATGTAGTCACTTACCAAAAAAAGAAAGGTTACTATAAAAAACAATACAATGGAGAGGTGGAAAATGTTAAGAATTCTAGTCTTTGCTGTTCATTGTCAAGTTTGATCCCATGGAGGAACACTTTCTTTTTTAGGCAGTGTCAGAAGTGTGATTCCATACACTAACCTTTTCTCCTTGATTGGAACAAAGGGGTTTAGCCCTAGTGGGTGTTTGGTCAGTGGTTAGAGCATCGGCCTGAGCACCAAAGAGCTGCAGTTCGGTTCTGTCAAAGGCAGGTACCTGGGTTGTGGGTTAGCTTCCCGCCCTCCAGTTCAGGTGCATGTAGGAGACAACCAGTCGATGTGCCTCTCACATAGATGTTTCTCTGTCTCACTCTCTCCCTCCCTCCCACTGTCTCTGAAAAGCAATGGAAAAAATATCCTCACGTGAGGATTAACAACAAAAAAATGGCTTAGTGCAGTGGTTCTCAACCTGTAGGTCGCGCCCCCTTTGGCGGTCGAACGACCCTTTCACAGGGGTCGCCTAAGACCATCCTGCATATCAGATATTTACATTATGATTCACAACAGTAGCAACATTACAGTTATGAAGTAGCAACGAAAATAATTTTATGGTTGGGTCACAACATGAGGAACTGTATTTAAAGGGCCAGAAGGTTGAGAACCACTGGCTTAGTGTGATCTGAAAGGGAGCGAAGTGTGTGATGTCGTGACCAGGGCTATAGAATAATGTCACTGGCTTAGCTGACATCATCCCACAGAGCGCCTGTGCTCCGCATTCCACACTGCGGGAAACACCTCTCAGATCCTTTCAAACAATCCTGTGTGATGGGAACTGTCCACAGTGGTAGGTGAGGACCTGGAGACTGAAAGTGGGGTGTCCTACAGTGAGCAGAAAACTCAAAATGCAAGTCCAGGCCTGTCTTCCTCCTAAGCTTTATCGTTTCTCTTGGTTTTCACAAAATGTAAAGGGAAACAGGTATGGGGTCTTCAGAACCGCAATGTCCTTGGGCTGAGTGAACAGATGCTGGGCTGGGGAATTCTAAGGGCACGACAGGAGCCTGGGTCACCCTGCTAAGTGAACAGCCAATCACAAAGATTATACCGTGTGATTTCCGTCCAGAAATCTATGGAGACAGAAGGTGCATTAGTGGTTGTTTGGGGCAGGGGTGGGGGAGGTAGGAGAAGAGGGGAGCGATAGCCTGAGGGCATGGGATGTCATCGTGAGGCCCTGAACATGTTTTAAAGTTGATGTGAAGTTTGCACACATCTGGGAATACAGGAAAGCCACTGAAACATGCACTGTCAATGGAGACTATATGGTGTGTGAACTGTGAATCAATAACGCTCTTTATTAACGTCCCCTGGTGTGGAGCTGGGGTGCATCTCAGGGTGTCTCTCTGTGACAAGAAACCCAAGTTTCCTCGCACAGGAACAGTGTGTGGTTCCTGGCTTGGGTGTGGTCACTGACCTAGGTCCTGATTCTGATATCTGTCTGATCACTAGACTCTAGGGGAGCCCTTAAGGCTTTCTTGATGTGAGAACCTCATCTGAAGGAAGTGTAGGGTTCCATCCCGAGGCCTTCTGGTTGTTTCCAGGAGGTGAGAGAATCCAGCTCACGTTTGGAGCCTCTCTCCTGCACACAGTGGCTGAGCTGCATTTGACATACAGGATGCGGGCTGGGCTGACACCATTATCTGTACAGAGGAGAATTACTACATCTGCAGCGCTATCTTTATGATCAGAGGCCTTGTATGTATCTTAAGTCTCTTTATTTCCATGGGAATGAACCCTTTTAACCTCCCATCTCCTCCCTTTGGCTCAGGTGCTATTTCTATTGGAAATTCCCTTTCTCCCGCTCCCCCCGCAGAGCACTCCCCATCATCTACAAGTGAGAAAGTATGTCCCTCCCGTCTTTTGTCCCTCAGAGAACTATGTCCCTTTATCAGGTCTTCTGAGAGGGGTCTCCTCTTATCTCTGTGTGGGTGATGTGCAAAGCTGAGATAGAGGAGATGGTCTGTGGCTGGGCAAGTGTAAGAAAGGGTGGCTCAAAGTCTGTATCTCAACCACCATGTTCCTCCAATCAGGCTGGGCAAAGCCTCAGGCATCAGAGGACACCCCACTCACAACACCTCCAATTACAGGCTCCCCGTTCCCCATCAGCAGTGTCTTTGAGAGTTTGCGAGGGGCTGGTGTTGAAGAGGTGGGACTTGAGGAGCATTTCAATGTTTTGGAATCTTGCTTGATACTCAGCCAGAGGATGTCACATCAAGAGGATTGGGTCCTGCACTTAAAATTGCTTCATAAGGCTTTATGATCGTATCTCTTATCATCTCAGCTTAATTTACAGGTTAAGCTGGACACACCCCAGTCCTTTTCTCTGCCCTGATCTCCCAACAGCTACGGACTTCACGAGCCTTCACAGTCGGACTCGCTGACACCAACTCGCTCCCATAGGATCTCAATCTCACATCCACAGTTGCTCAGTTTGCCGTGTGCATTTACACAGGCTGCTGTTTGGCACTGGTCTTCCCGCATCTATGCAGCTGTGCTAACATCTGATGTGGTGCTATACTGCCCGCCCAGCACAGTCCGATACCTGGGAGAGGTTCTGTTCTGTGGGCTCCACCCACTCTACAGAGC